ACCCTCACCTTGAACTTTTTTCTCATTTCATTCTCTTTCTTTTCCCTCTCTTTTTGCTCCTTTCTTTCCTTCTCTATCCGGTGCTTCTCCCTCTTTCTCTGCTCTTTAAAGTCAGCAATATTGGGGCTTTGGCGTTCCTTACTGAAAACAGGAAAAGAGAATGTATGTTTTGGAAGGGACAACATGTATTTTTTTTTTAAGCTGACACATATCTGGTTCACATGGCCGACACATCACCAGATCATTTCGTTTTCAGACTAAATTGGTTTATAAGACTAAAAACAGTTCTGACTAGGCAGTTTTGTTTTGTTTTTTTCTGGAAAATGAATTAATGGACCTCATTTCAACAGCATCTTAAGACTTTAATAGTCTCTTTTATTAGTTGTCTTGGCTTTGTCACGGTCTGTGGGGAACTTGAACCTTTTCAAATACCTCGGGCTAAATGGTGTTTTAGGGAGAATCACTTGCAGTTCCTGCTTATTTAAATGATCTAGAGAATATTTAAAAAAAAAAAAAATCTTTATGTGTTCTACAAGACAGTATACAAATGCACTGTAGTGTTTTCTGGCTTATACTTTTGCATGTTTGTCGTGACATTTTTCCATATTAATAATTATAATATTAATAATTCCATAATTTGGATTAGTCACAAATGATGTGAAACACATACATCCACCTTCTCTTGTTGGTCATTTCTGTTACAGCAGTACACAGCAAAATGAAATGTTGATTTATCTGCATTCTAAAAAATTGTAACAAATTAATAAGATTTGTTACAATTAAAAATGTTTACCGTACCTCTGGATGTGATTAAAGATGTTGTTAGAATGATCTCCTAATCCACTGCCCCTGTAATTGGAATGATACAGTTTTTAAAAAAAAACGTATGATTATATGAATTAAATAAGCAATACAGAGCTAAGTAAGGAAAGAATACCATGGATTTGGTTGCCATTTGTTCAGACTGGTTTCCTCCTTTTAAAAATAGAAACAGAAACAAATATTATGGGGATTCAAAGAAAATCATTGTAGAAACATAATTTGCACTTTTTTTTTACCTTAGAATGGTTGTCTGCGTATGGATCTGTTGGGAGAAAAAAAAAAGTTATATCTGAAAGAAAAGTGATTACATTGCGCTAATACTGAAGAAAAAATATAAATCTACTTACTCTTCAGACCACATTTTTGTTTACGAGAGTTTTGGTCCGATGGCACTTTGTTGATGTCGTCAACAACCTCATAGACATTATCGCATGCTTCGTAGCAGCTATCCTGTTGATAAACACTAAAAAAAAAAAAGAAAAAAGAAAGAGCAAAAATATATGTTATTATAATTAAATTATTGTGGGGGGAATAATTATTGCAATACCCACTTTGGATGTGGCTGGATACTGTTTAGCTCTGAATGGTTACTGAGTTCACTTTCCTCTGGGAGAGACTGGAACTCGGCAGCGCTCGGGTACATCTCATCAGTTTGAGAGTTAAAAGGAAGTTCAGCAGCCCCCTCCTCGCTCTGAGACCACTGCTCTGCTGAGGGAGGCTCTAAAAACCCTGGGAGGTATATCAGTTCAGGGTAGCCGGCTGGATCCAGGAGTATTACGTTCTTACAGCCAATGTTTACATCTTGGATAATAGAGCTCTCTCTGGGCTCGGTGTGATTACACGCTGACAAATCGGACTCGAAAGCCTCAAAGTCTGGGACGGGAAGGTCCTTGCTGGTGAGGTCTAAAGATTCCAGTTCCAGGGAAGCGATATCAACAGCGTCTCCAGCTGTTGTTTTCATTTCCGAGTTGTCGAACTCCGGAAACTTTGGGGGATCCAGCACAACGCCGGAGATTGATGGGAGCTTGGAGTCGGGCTCGTCAGTTGGTGCTTGGCTTAGAGCTGGTGACAACTCTGCAAGAGGGAAATATAATGTTTTACACAGTTGTTAACCAGAAAATGAAGAAAACAAAAAGGGGTCTTTTTTTTAAAATTTTTGTGTAAAAAAAAAAAAAAAAAAAAAAAAAAGATTCCTTTTAAGTTCTTTGGGCAGAAGGCTGACCGTACAGACTGAGGTCCACCAATGGAGGTCTTGGGGGCTTTGCTGGAAGGGATCCGACTGACCTTGGGTCAGGCAGTGGTTTCTTCGGCGGTACAGACAGTGAATGAGGTTCAATAGTTCTGCCAGATGGAGGTTGAGCTTGGTCCTTGCCAAAATTCTTTGTTAATGGAGACTCTAGTCAACAAGGAAGAAATATATATATATATTTCAGCCTTACAAAAATGGAATATCGATTGAACTCCCATTTCCAGAAATGTTAAACTTCCTTAAGATAAGAAAAACCTAAAGCTGATTTTTTTTAAATGTTCCTGATGAATACATTAACTGACAGCAGGAAAAAAAAAAACATTTTTTTTTTTGCATAGATACAGTACATCATATGAGGTGCCTTTAGCAAGGATATGTGGATAGATACAGTACATCATATGAGGTGCCCAGGATATGTGGTTTATTAATTTTTTTTTTTTTTTTTGCTTTCAATTTTTCTGTAAATGTGTGTTTGTAATCAAAATAAGAGTTCAACTTACTTCGTAATGAGTTGCCAGCTTTGAAAAAAGGCCGTGCTGAGATACAGGCCATGTGTGGAAGACCAAAGGGTGGCATTAAGGGGGGATCGGTACTAACACTTTCAGTGTTGGTGGCAAAGGGAAACACGTTGACCGCCTGTGCGTAGTCGGGTGAACGGAAGCTCTTGGGTTTTGTGGATATCAACATTTGGCGGCGTGAGAACTTCTTCTTTGCCCTTTCCAGGGTGCTAATAAATTTGTTGTCAGAGTCGACACTGGTCTCCGAAGAGGGAGGGGTTATTGGCGCGTCGGGGCTCGACTGGGAACACTCCGTGACATTTGAATTGTCGCTTTGCACTGAACCGCCATTTTCTGTGGGTTGCATTTTAATCGAGGGCAACTCGCCGGGAGCACTCGAAGGTCTCGTTGTCAAGTCAGCATAGGTGGGTTCCTCTCCGTTTCCTGCGCTGACTTTTGATGCTTTGGTTGACTTGAAAGGAAGCAGCAAACCCTTCTTTTTGATTTTATTTTGCGAGAACGCTACTTTTACTGAATCAGGATCCTGTGCGTGCAACAACTGTGCCACTGGGGAATCCGTCTTCTGCTCTTTAACGGGAAAGGCAGGAAGGACTAGGGGCATGTGTCGCTCTTTGAGTGACTGCTTCGCCGTGCTGTCCCCATTCGCAAACTGGGATGAGGGCGAGGTTTGCTGAAGATGTGGTGGGAAGGAGTTCGGACGTGTACCTCCAGACGCCCTCAGACCATCTCTGTAAATGACCCGCGACAACACTGGAGAGTTGTTCTCTGCGGCAATAGTCATACCACTCACAACAGGAGGGGGGACATATTTGGGCTTCTCTGCCACAGCTGGTCGTTTGGAGATGTATTGAGCCAGCAAGACGTCTTCCTGAAACTTGGCCCTCAGAGCTTTAAAGTTGATTGGCCCCTCCTTAGAGAAGAAAACAAACCAAATCAAATTCAGCATTAAACCGCTATTAAACTTCAATTTACAAACACTTTGGGGGTTTTGTAGGGTGTCAAAGCAATTTTTTTCTTTAAAAGAAATGTGGAACACTGTGTATGAGACGTGTTCTTACTTTGCCATGCTTGAAACGAATAATAAAATTGCATAGAAATGGATTAAACAATGTCTAAAACAAATTAACATTCAGCTTAAAGTCCGTAGCTAGTTGATAACATTAGACAGACGTCTATATATGATTTTGTAAGATACTTATACCCAGAGTTTTTCCTGTTAAAAGTAAAAATTGAATAATTTTGTCCTCGCTGACAAACGACGCGGTGCGTTAGCAAACACGAGCTATCAGAGAACAACTTTTTTTTTTTTAGCAAACAAGTTACCCACGAAAACGTCCTAACATTTACCTCTTCCATTGTAGTTCGTCTGAGTTCATCACTCTCAACCTCTGCACATCAGGAAGAAGCGGTGGAAACCGTTGGCCACTCGACGTTATCGACTTTATTTTGTTTGTTTTTTAATTTAAAATAGCGAACCGATAAGGCTAGGCTAACAAATAGTAGACAACGCTTGGACAAACTGTTTGAAAACGCCGCTGTCTGTGGGAGTGACGCACATGCGGCGTGCGCGCTCACGGTGATTGATTGACAGGTGAAAGGAAGCTCCATAACGAATGACCAGACAGTACGTCACTGCTGCCGCCTTTTGGTCTGGTAGATAAACTAATAATTTAATTATTAACTTGATAAATAATTTTTTTTTTTTTTTTTTTTAAAAACATGATTTAGTTCAAGCGTAATGCACAATGTAAAAAAAAAAAAACATGATTTAATTCAAGCGTAATGCACAATGAAAGTATCATCAATATTTTTTTTTAAGAAACGATAAACATAAAATCGACCAATGATTGATTCTTACTTTTCTTCCAGGAAAGTGGAACAGGTTGGATAATAACTTTTGTAAAATCATAGTATTTTATACTTAATTTTTGTTCATATACCGGTAACCGTAGTAGGGGATTTGAGAGGGGACACAATAATAAGAAGAATTTTTTTTTTTTAAATCAAAGAACCTTTTCAAAATAGGAATAAAACCTTGAAAAGGAGGACACTCAGTTGAGATTAAATATGAAAAGAGATAAGCAATGTGGATTATTTTAAAATTCCCTAACTGTTGTAAGAGCATGTGTTTACTCACGATCAATCATTCACTTCAGTTGGTCAAAAGTTCAGTGGTTGATCCTTTCTAAAGGATCGCAACATCTGTTCTGTAAGATTACATTTAGGTCTCAAGCCACAGACATCTACCTTCAGGATGGGTAGATTCATTATTTTACTTTTAGGTTTTTGTACACTACACCTCGCCAGTGTTAGCAGGACATCTGTGGAAGCGTCTGTAACGCCATGGATGACAAATGATACAAGGTGCAGTATTTTTACGTTTTCTGGCTTTTACATAGATAGATATTTTTTAAAAGTAACAGACCTGGAGCTGAGATCATAATCTGGTTTTTGTGTTGGATAAGGTGGTCTGGGAGGAGAACAATCAGATCTGCAGACAGACCCAAACCGATCAGCTGTAAGATGGGGATCTGGTCATCTTGGACTCGCTGTGACTCCTGTACAGAGAGTAAAGTAATGATGTTCCTTTTTTTCTTTTTAAGATAAGTAACTTGACGACTGATGTAACTTTAGATTTTTTTCTAACTAATGATGATTTTAGATACCTAGTTTATATGCATGATATTTTATAGATGCATATTTCGGTTTTTTAATCAGAGAAATCTGACCATCTGAACCAGGCATGGGCAAACTAAGGCCCGGGGGCCGGATGCGGCCCCTTTCAGCTTTTTAATCCGGCCCTCCAGATTTTTCCGAATTATATAATTTATTTATATTATCATTGTACTTCTGCCTTTTCCTGCAATACTCACGTTTCCCCAACGGATGGCATAGAAAATGTTAAAAGCATGTTAGCATTTTTGACTTTTACTCTTAGTTCACAGAAGGGCTCTTTTTATCTGCGCCTACTCCTGCCGGACCCCCGTTCAATTGTAAGACAATTGCCTTGATCTAGACCAAATTAATACAGCAGGACTGCCTGTTTCATCAACATACACATAAGCAGGGCGTGTTTTGAAAGTTTTCTCCTGAAATGCTGAATCTGAATTCTCGTCAAACACTTTTCTAGCTGCGCTTCAGATATTTAGACAAACCCTCACAGTTCGGAGGCACTCACTGCATTGAGACCTTATGGGACAGGCTGGCCTGTCCAACTGCCACCACACAGTGTCTGGTGCCAGATTACTGCGGAGAGAGCTTTACCTGCAAATACACAGGCACGTTCTTTCATAACACTTCTTCACATCTTCAGCGAATTGGTGTGCGTTATTGGAAGAGAAAGCCATTCTGAGTGTGTGTGTGTGTACGTGTGCATGTACGTACAGGCCGCTGTATCAGCCAGTCCCTTCGCTGCAATGGGGAAGGAGACTGCAGTGATTTCTCCGATGAGGACAACTGTGCCGATTACAACCCGAGGAAAGACAAGTGTTCTACTCTCCTGCCAATCCCCGGGGCTGAGCGTGGTACACAGGGGTAAGTTCTGAACCTTGTAGTGTACCTCGATGTTTACTTCATACGCTACTTCTAAAATACTACTTCTTGCAAGAGCGAGCGGTTAAATGATTGTGTTTTGCACAGCTTCAGTGTCTTGACTGGAGACTTTGTGGATCAAGTTCTCGATCCCCATTATTTTGGCGGATCCTGCGAGTACGTCTACAACGGGGAATGGAGGAAGTTCCTCTACGAGTCCTTCTGTGAGAACCTGCAGTATGACGACGACAGCAAAAACTACCGAAAGCCCTACAACTACCATTCCTACCGCTTTGTGGTATTGTATTGACACACTGCTCAAACGACAGTACCGTTCGTCTTAGACGATACACTGAAGGGTGACCGCGTTACAGGCGGAAGCGGCCTCGGAGGGATCTCACGAGTACTACGAGGACGTGAACAGTTTGCTGAAGGCCAGGAAACGCACGCACTCTTCCAACGCTGGAGTCACAGTTGCCGTGTATTACGTGCAAGTGGGAGTTAAAGGAAGCACTGAGTCCGAGTTTTTAACGAACATAACACAGTACAAAAGTCAGGCAAGTTCAACTGCCGCCGCGGCACTTCTCTGTGTGTTTTTTTCGAATAAATTAAACCCTTTCGTAGTGATGCAAATACTTTTGGTTACTCTCCTTCTCCTCAGGACGTTGGGTTTGTTAGGCTTTTTTCCAAAGTGCAAACAGCACTCTTCAAGATGAGGTCAAATAATTTGATGCTCCACGAAGACTTTTACTACGCACTCATGGAGCTCCCTGAAGAGTATGACTTCGGGATGTACTCGCGCTTCTTCAAGATGTTCGGCACTCACTACGTCACAGAAGGAACCATGGGCGGAACACTTGAATATGTTGTGGTCATCAACAAAAACACCATGGCAGAATCAAGTACTTTTTTTTTTTCGTAGATACTTAACAGAATTGTAAATGTTACCCCCGTCTTTATGCTCCTCCGTCGCTTTTTGCAGAGATGGAAGGTTCACAAGTCGGCCGTTGCATTGGGGGCTCCGTTGGTCTAAGCAGTCCACTTGGGGCCTACGGGAGCGCAGACCTCACAGTGGGTGGTAGTAGCTGCAACAAGAATGGTGAATTTAATAAAGGTAAGGAATAAAATATAGGTATATAAATCCATCTTCCCCTTACAGCTCTACCTTCGCGTTACTTTTCTGAGATGTTCCCCAGAAAAGTTATACATATTTCCTGAAACATATTTAATCTGTTAGCTTACACGGGTACATTTACACTTGGGCCGTTGTACCTCGCGCCCAAGCACGTTTGCCCCCCCCCTACAGTCTGCATTCTATAGCTGGTGTGAGTGCAACCTTGCTATGGCGCAGTTGGAAGAGGTTGGTCAAACATGCGCACTAGTGAAATTAAGTATATTTCCTGCTATCGCTGCAAAACTTTTACATGCGTTCAGCGAGCACTACAGCTCTACCTTCGCGTTACTTTTCAGCGAGCCTGCAAACGTTTGCGAATCGCACCATGCTGGCAATAAAACAAGTCATTGGCAAGGGCTGAGTATTTTATAGATAATTTTACGTCCTTTTATGAACTTCCAACACTGGGGTAATTCTTGAGTTAACAGCTGGTTACCCCTTGGGGGCGCCAAGTATGTGGTTCCTCCAGGAATCTAACCCGGGATTCTTTAACCGTGTATAAACAACATAACACATATGATGTATCTGTTGGAGGCAACCAGGCTTTAGCTAGCTTGCCTTCGTTGTACCTTGAGTAGCCGTAGTGCAAATGCACCATAGTCTTTTCTCAGCACATTTAAAGGATCTCAACCGTGTCTCTATAACGTTATCTCCAAAACGTTCGACTTTAGCTGTTCGGCTAACACCTCTCCTGTCTATCAATTGGTATTATCTCTAACCAAACGACAGAAACTTTTGTAAACCTCAGTGATGATATGATTGTGAATCGATGTAAAGCTTGGTTGTGAAATCTCGTTTTTTTTTTTTTTTTTTTTTTTCAAATTGCAGTATCAGACGGCGACTCGGTTGACATTAAGGACATTGTGACACTCGTGAAAGGAGGAATTCTCCACGCCAGCAGTGGCCTGTTGGCTATCAGGAATCCAGAGACCTACAGGAAATGGGGAGCATCTCTAAAATACAACCCGACACTCATTGACTACGAGGTGACACCTTGCTCTCAAATGCAGACAAATGCCTCGTCTAAATACTCTGAACTAGCACACGGTAAAAGGCAAATGTTTCCGAGCTGTAACGTTGACTTGTTTCAACAAACAAAAATATTAGACGGACAGAGAACAAGGACACCACACCTTTTGTTTACCGAAGGCGTTTGATTGTCAGTAGTTTCCTGACTTTATCCTCTCTGCCCCTTTTGCTCTCCAGACCCTGCCAATCTATGAACTGGTGCGCCGAAGCACAGCTGCCGCCCATGTAGGCCAGAGGCTGGCTAACCTGCAGAAAGGCTGGGAGGAGTATCGGCGGCATTTTGACTCTTGCCGTTGTGAATCCTGCAAGCATAGCGGTATTGCCGTTTTGGCGGGAACCTCCTGTGAGTGCAACTGTAGGTCTGGATACCAGGGAGTGGCCTGTGAGGAGACATTAAGAAGAGGTAAAAGGGGCGAAAACTAAAACCCAAACAAGGGATCGAATTTGAGGCAGTGATTTCTACTAGCAGCAGAAAAATACTGTAAAAAAAATGTATCTTTCTAAATTGCTTGTTAAACAAGGCACAGTGAACATTTGAACATTGAGGCCAGGCGTGCGCAAACTTCTTGACTCGCGGGACAAAATGGGTCCTAAAGTTTGAGTGGGCTGGGTCAGAAGCAGATACGTGGAGATGAAGTCATTCGAAAATTATTATGCTACTTCACAGATACCAAGACAGATGGGTCCTGGTCATGCTGGGGATTCTGGTCGTCCTGTGCATCAGGGAGGAAAACCCGGACAAGGACCTGTAATAATCCTCCGCCTACTGATGGTGGCGCTACATGCCAGGGCTCTGCCTCTCAGACTCAACATTGTTAAGCGGCCCGAGACTTTTAACAAAAGTGACATCTGCCCTTCTTTGGTCAAACTGTATGTCCGCACAGAAATAAAAATTGTTTTGTGCACATTCTGTTCATGTTTATGATATTCATACGTGTCGAAACTTTAACATGTATACATACGTTGTTGTGTTAAAAAAAAAAACACTTGTAGATAAACAAATAAGATCTACAGGGTTCCCAAGAAATAGCTGTTAAAATTATATATATACTGTATATATATATATATACACACATACATATATGTATCTATATATATATACTGTATATATATATATATACACACATACATATATGTATCTATATATATATACTGTATATATATATACACACACATATATACATATATATATATATATATACACATATATATATATATATAGTGGGGTGTCTGATATTTTGTTTGAGATTTTAATGTCCGATGTCCGATATGCCAATATTAGCTAGATCACTTTTAGCCAACCAGTACTAACTATCCAACCAGTGATCCTTTGTCATAAAGCGTTCCGACAACACAAGCAAGCTATCGCACTGGTTTTTCATGCACTTATTGTTAATCATTATATCACACAGAGACAATTCAAGGGTGTTTACTGAACAAATCACCAAATGTCAGCACTGACATAAGAACCGATACTAAAAGCACTCGGTCGACTCTTCCTGCAGTCCTCGACACGCCATTCCGCCGTTGCTCGGTGCTGGGTTGTTACATTGCCGACTTCTGGACTTCCTTGTACCACTGCAGCCGCTCCAGGCACCCCAGCAGCTCCAACTGCCATCAATGGCAATTTCTGTCAGAAACAATGGTTATGGTTTCAAACGTTGTCGGCGTGTTTTACATTCAAGCAAACAAATTCAGTGAATTCGATGTTGATGTGTTCAAGGTTGGCCTAAGATCCTCAGGTTTCAAACCTTTTCTTCTTTGGGTGATCTCACAGCCCAGTCCAGTGTAACCAACGGGACACACACAGTCACACCTTTTACCTGTTGAGAGAGACAGAGTGATATCTTGTACACAGTGACGGAATTCAAACTGAACTATAATTACCCCATACAGCTGTTATCCTAAAGTGCAGGGGTCAGAAACTCCCAGGTCGAGGGCAATTTCTGGGCCGCTAACCTCTCCCTCCCCCCCATATCTGGCCTGTGATAAGATGATGGTTTTTGGTCTACGATTCCCTGGATCTACAGCAGTGGTTCTCAATTACTTTCTGCAATGCGCCCTCTTGGGGACAGAAATGTTATTACGCCCCACCCTCCACCATCCGACCCACATAGGACAGAAATGTTTTTACGCCCCACCCTCCACCATCTGACCCACATCCCCGCAACATTAAAATACTATTGAGAACCTGATAACATGTATATTTTTATCTGTACAAACCACTGTATGAGTTGCTGCCACCTAGTGTCTGGAGGCTTGTTATCATCCATGAACTTTTTTCCCTTCATTATGGCTCCCAAGTGTAAGTCATACCCTTCTGATGTTTTCATGTATTCTAGATTGTAAAGTTACCACTGTGTTAGCGTAGGTATGTGACACATGGTACGTATGTGTGCGAGTTTCGACTGACGGCGAATTTTTCAACGTAAATACCTCTTTGTTGTTTATTTGAAAATGAGATTTGTTCTCGCTTTTTTAAATTCCTATTCCTTTGTTGTTTATTTGAAAATGAGATTTAATATTCTCGCCTATTATTCCTATTCACATTTCTAGCTATCGCTACGTACTGTTATCTGGTGTCCCACTTGGGGGAGCGCTTTGCCTCACTCTCCCAAAGGGTGTGGAGGGGGGCGAGGGAGGGGGGCAAAGTCTACCATCCCTAATCCTAATCCTTTTGCAATTTATTTACCTTTCAAAACAGCGATTCCGTTGTTTTGGCACGGTGCGCATCTGCATGAACTAGATTCAGTCAGGTACTCTGACAGCGCTCTCTTCAGGTTTCTTTTCAGCTGGGAATGATGAGTGAAGTCTCTGGAGTTGACCAGCTCGTACAGCGGCCGAGTCTGATCGGGAAAAAACAAAACACACATCGGGCATTGTTACCATTCCTGGGTTCAGCCAACCGCAGTTTGTCGTCCGACTTGCCATTGATCAACTAAGCCGTAGGGCGGCTTTGTGCCCCTTTTATGAGCAACTATGAGGTGCATGATTATCTCTAAATTAGCCAAGCTATGTTTACGAAAAAAGGCGAATAACGGTACACTTGTTAGCAAGCAAACAGTCCCGCAAACTCACAGTTGAACGAATGAAGTCAGGGTTATAACGCACACCTTCCCCCCAAAGTTTCATCAGCTGTGGGGTGGGGAGTTTTTTGGACACTAGCGCGGTGATGGACTCGCTGCTGCCACCTCGCACCACAGCCACAAAGTCCTCCACCATACTGCCATTCTTTGTGTCCTCTGCGGAGAAAAAGAGACACCATTGGACCGGAACTAGGTAATGTGTCTTAGACATGTTTTTTTTTAGATTTCAGAAAAAAAAAACAAATCAAAAAACGTTGACCTCACCTCCCATTTCGTTCAACAGACCGTTACAGCTTCCGCCTTCAACCCCGCCGGACACGTAGACACCGTAGATGTTGGCCCCAGCTCTGAGGCCTACTTGTGTGCAGGACTTGTAATCGTTCAGAGAATAATCTAGAACAACATTACCTTAAAATATTAGCCTCCGTTACACAGCCGGTGCAAAAGTACCGTCAACACGAGGAAAGAGAACCGACGCTGTATTTTTTATTTTTTTTTTACCTGTCGTCTCCAGTTTCTCCTTGTTCAGAATGATCGTGTGCTCGTATTGACCTCCCAGCGTAGCCTCCGTGATATAGTGCGTGCCGTAGTCCCTGTAAATCTGCCTGTACTCCCCGTATACATAGGCCTGAGGCAGGGAACGCAGGCGCTGCAGGAACTCTGGGTGAAGCACCAAATCGTCTGCTTTTATGATATACTGAGCCAACTCCAGTTCTGCTTTGGCTCTGACAAAGCTGTTCGTCTGCGGAGAAATCAGTCACATGTCAGTCTAGAGGATCGGTTGCGAAAAATCGATCACAGGGTGTTAGGAATATATATATATATGTAAAGACAAAATTACACCTCACCTTGCCCGAGGCTCGTCTAATTTTCTGAACAGATTTGGAATATTTGGAATTTTGGAAGTTGAAGCCAAATTCGAAGACACCGGGGATGGCGAAACCAAAAGAAACGCTGGTTTGGGTGGAACGTTCTTTCAAGGTGAAGTCCATGTAGTCAGAGTAGGTCTCGAATGCTTGAAGGTTAAAATCATATGAGCCCCTCGTCTGGAGAGAGAAAATACACAGTAAATCGTAGCAATAATAAATATCTGAGTGGATGCTAGCATAGCTTAAAGTACAGTATTTGTAGTACTGAGAGATGGAGAGCTGTGATCTGATTATTTATCCCGTTATTTTGAGGCTATACGCCTAGACTGCTGGGGGAAAATCCTGAACACGGTGTTGTTTGAATTACATTTTACATTACAACCGTACATCATTTTTTACATTGTTGTTAATGGCTTAGAAAAAAAAAAAAACATATTGTAGTTCGGTTATACGGTGTAAAGTACCTGCATTGTGTACTGTTGCAAGTTGTAAGGCTTCCTGAATCTCATGTCCTGGATGTAGTGCGGCAGACAGCTGCCACCGTAGTATCTGTTATCAAGGACCGTTCCCTCCAGGTTGCTGTTCAAAACGTTGATCCTGAAAAGAAGAGCAACACCGGGGATGACGATGACGATGGTGTTGACTGGCCGATTGGCTGAAGACCAATAGGAATGCGTCTCACCCTTTGGCAAGATTTTCGATACCCCAATACTCCTCTGCCTCCTGCCTGCAAGGCTTGGGCACATCCTTACAGCCGATTTCATCGGACATGTCGCCGCAGTCGTCCTCTCCGTTGCACTTCAGAGTTCTGTGAACACATCGACCTGGTGGACAAGACAGATTGGGATGAAAATGTAGGGTTCGTTATAGAAATCATCATTTCTATGTCTAACTGTAATGTGTCTGGGGAAAACTGCGAAGCCAAAAGGAGATTAATTGCAGTCAGTCGGAAACGGCTTATCAAACTCTGACCATCGATGCAGTCACTCCACTGCCAGGAAACAGTCTGAACTGAAACTGAAAACCAACCCACTGTTGGTCTGTTGTTTTGGCTAGGAACCTATCCTTCAGTGAGGATTAAGATGAAACTCCTCGATCAAACGAGGCAGATATGGTTGACTGGAAAAGTGCGTCCCAGTCATGTACAAGATAAACATTTCGGCAAGCGATTTTCAGTATGCATTTTAAAGTAGATATCTCTGAAAACAGAGACTCAGCGCTAGTCGCAGCGACATATGTTTCTCGTTCTGTCACTATCGGAGTTAGAGATTATTGGCAACCAACGTGGATACGTTAGCATCTCTCATGGAAGTCTTGTTCCGGCATTCTGATATATGGCGTTCAAGCTAAATTTGCACATGAACTATTTGGTGAGTGAAATGGACGTCACATGGCGCTAGTTGTTGCACTGATGCTCTTATGTCCTAGTTTGGGGTCATCAACGTGCTACATATATACACGCCACCCACTGGCACCTCACCACACCCCACCCCTCCAGGAGGGCCCGCCCCACTTTTTGATCTCAACCCAAAGGTAAGAAGGTAAGACTAAACCAGCTTGAAGATGCCTGTACGTTAGCAGAAAGAAGAACGCACCCGTTTGTGTGCAGAGGAAGCCCTCACACAGAGGAACACTGTCGCAGTTGTACCGAGCTGGAACGTCACAGGCTTCTTCTTCTCTGTCATGAAGACTGCAGGCCTCTCCTCCAAATTGAGACGGTTGCTCCAGCCTAGCGTAGCGAAACTGGGGATTTTGAAAGTTCAAAGAAACAATCGGTCAACACCTGACAAAAACTGAGGGACGAGCTCGTACTACATCTCATGCTCTTTAGGAAACTATAAGTCAAGTTACCGTCTGTACAAACCACCGTATGAGTTGCTGCCATCTAGTGTCTGGAGGCTTAATATCATTCAAGCATTACAGCAGTGGTACATGCTAGTAATCCCAGATATACATGGGATGTCTGATAATATCAGTAGGCCCGATATTAGCAGAATTACGTAACATCAGTATGATCATGATCGGTTTTGCCTCCGATAATGAAAAGTCCGATAACACAATGCCTGGGTTTTTGTACGATTCAAATTTGCTTGAATCGTACGTTGGGTCCTGAGACATTAACCTCAGTTTTGGGGGCAAACGGCTGCACATATCGGAATCGGAAATTAAATGTTTGGACAATATCAGCATATCGAAAAAGGTTAATATATTTCTCTAGGGTTCATTAAGAATCACGGCGGTGTTTTAGTGGGCCACAATCCATGGGTCAAGAAACTTAGCGCAGTAATCTCACTGTCATACTTACTCTCTTCTTCTGACAGGTGTCACAGCGCGACCATGAGCTCCAATCAGATAATACACATTCCACCGACCTCGGAACCCCCTGTGCTCCCACTGAGCGGACCTCACGGACGCCGGGGTCGTCGCTACGTGCCACCGTCGTGACAACAACATCGCTGCGACGTAAAATGGAAATTAACAATCAAAAGAAATGTATGTGACAAAATTCCCGCAGATACGTTTTTAAATTACAGTCTTACCTTACGAGCACTAAGCTCAGGGTGACGTGGAGCAAACTCCTCTCTATCGCCGCAGAAAACATGGTTTGCGTGTCTGTGCTAACCAGAAAGCAGCAAAATCCCTGTCTCCGCGTTAACACACCGCGATCAATACTGGTACCGACCTAAAGTCTGCAGTGCCATTGGACTGAGAGTTTTGTGCTAAATAAACAACAAAGACAGACCTGTCAGAGACACACAAGTGTGGGACACCAAATATCCGCGATGAGGTAAATTGCGAATACAAGGTCCCTGTGTCCACATCACTCAGGCTGTGTTTGAGTAGGAGTGACCTTTAAACTTTGTTCACATTCGGATTTTGCTGCGAGTTGGCTCTGTTTAACTGAGATCACAACGTTAGCAAATGAAATAGAAAGATGTTAAAGTTGATGTTTTACTAAAAGCTTTTCAAGCTCCCGCGGGCCACACAAAACGGCTCGGCGGACCACATATGGCCCCCGGGGCCTTGAGTTTGACACGTATGGCATAAATTATTCCAACATATTAGGTCTGCTACAAACATACAAAAAAAAAAAACATACAAAAACTGGCGATGACATTTCTGTGAGAATAGCAGCCCCTGTTGGCCGCTTGTGTTACATCCCATTGAACTTTACAAAAAAAAAAAAAACCTGAGAAGCAAAATGGGAATCACATAATATTTAATTTGTGACCGAACAGTGGTATGGGGGTACTGTGTATGAGGGGAAGATCATAGACGTACAAAAGTCTCTTTTTTTTTTTCTTCTTTTCCATGACAAGTCATAACTCCATAAATAAAATTTACAAAATATCTTGGACTATTTCTTTCTTTCTTTCTTTTTTTTTTTCTTACACAAGCTTGGGTACAGTTAGGCTACCATTTGTTATTGTAGGTCTAGCAGTTATTAGCGATGGCTCCTTAGCTCATATTACATTTAAGGTTTTACCTGTTCTGACCAGTGACTGAGGCGACAGATACAAACGAAATGGCCAAAACCGAAAACAGCATTTAAACGATTTTTTCCCCATTTTATAATGAAAATTAAATGAAAAACAATGGGAAATGCAGAGATTATTTCAACTATTACCATAACGTGTCTGACCTTGGTGTTTACTTTCAAAACAAACAAACAAAAGCTTCATTCTTAATGACCATGTAACACGTATTCACAGTTTATAATCTGACAGACCAAAAGAAAACAAAGCCTGAAAAAAAAAAAATTAACATTACAAATATTCAAATGCCGGAAGAAAAAAAAAGTGCTGGTAAAGCTTTGCTAGAAAACACAGGGTGATGAAATCTAGTACGAAAAGCGCTGACGGTGTGCATAAGGTTTTAGCCACCTCCGTTATTTTTTTTTTTCCCTTTTTTATTTAACCCTAAAAAAAGTCTATCTATTTAAAAAATAATTTCCCAGCCCTTAAGAAAAACAACCGAGCTTTGCCACTTTTGTTTTGTATTTCTTCAGATTGCTGTTGAATAAATAAATATGTGATGATTTGTTTTACGACACAAATGTCAGCACAACATTAAAGCAATTATGGCAAATGTTCTAAAGCTAAAAAAATGACATTTGAGGGCAATGTTTTCAATGTTCCAGTTATATATAAAAGAAAAATGTTATCCGATTATTTACAAAAAAAAAAAATGTTATCCAATTATTTCACAAAGTGCTTTCAGTTAGAAACTGGGAATATTTTAAGTATAGAAATGACTTTAGATTTGTTTCGCAACTGTAGAAGATAAGAGTGGCTCCCTTTAGATTAATCATCAAAAGCTTGGGTTGTAGCGGTTAGCACAACTGCCTTTGCGAGCAGAGTCCTTGGTTTGATTCCCAGAGGAACCACATACTTGGTAGTAGATCTGCTGTTAACACAACAACAACTGAGTTCAAAAAAAAAAAAAATCTATAAAAATTGCTCCGTCATAGTTTGGGGCTGGATTCTAGCCATTGTGTCGAAATTGCTGAAAAGTTTATTTAAATACAAATACACTACAAATCTGTAAAGGAGAACTTTGCAAATCGACAAACGGTGTCCCTAAAAGGATAGTAGACTAAGTTTGGGGGAAAAAAAAAAAAATTAAGTAAGTGAATAAAGAAAAAGATCAGTCTCCGAGGTGGTTTAGTGGTAGATTACAGCAAGTAATGCTGGGAAATTGGTGACAACAACACTGACTTTTGTGAGACATAATACTAACATAATACATGACTGACTTCTGCAAAGCCCAGACATCAAAATCATCCAATCCGTTTGGTCAGGCAGCAGGTTAAGCATAACCAACATCTAGAAAACAGCATTTAAATGTTCTTCAAGCAGGTTAACCGTAAATAGTGTGCCTAAACATCTTCCTATTCTCTTTATTTATTATGAAAGAAATGATGCAGGAGTGGCTGGAAAAAACTTTTTTTTTTTTTTTTTTTTTTTTACTTTTTCTGTGTAAAACAAAAATAAAAAAAGGATGCTAAAAGCTTTTTTTTCACACCCTTACGTTATGGCACAGAGGCTCCGATACATGGAATGGATTTTATTTATTTGTATTTACAAAATATATGTTTGGCAAATTTCTTATTTGGACATCGATGCCCTGAGTCATTTCTATATGTTCACTGACTCAGTGTCATCAACTGATTCACAGCTTTTCAAATGAGGACCAAAAAAAAAAAAATTCTATGATTGATCTTCAGGAGGAAGCTGCAGAGAAGCTGGCTCCTGCGAGGTTCCTTCATGCAAATAATGGACGAAAAGATGGTGTAACGCAAACACAAACATTTGGCAAATCCATCCGCGATGCTTTGCTGGTGGCAGTCGAGACTTGGACGCTGCTCCTCCAAGAAAAAAGAAGAAAAAAAAATATTCCTCCTCTGTCTGTCTCACTATGGTCTTTAATAAATTCTCACAGATATAAATCCACTCCAGGAGAACACAAGTCCCCTCCTGTTGCAGGTTTCGGTCAAAGATAAAAGGTCACTTCCTGGTTGATAGGTTATTTGATTGGACGATTGAACCAAAGTCTGGTTTTCATGCTGAGAAGAACAGTACAGTACAGTACAGTACGTTGCAGTACAATAGTTTTCATGCTGAGAAGAACAGTACAGTGCAGTACAGTACAATTGCGAGGACTCCTAGGAAAAGCTGCTTATTTCAGACCTGCCAAAATATCCTTTAAAGGTTGTAGAAACAGAACACGTCTGCCTAATTCATCTGGTCACACTCACTATTGTAGCCTCTTCCTCCTCCTCATCTTCTTGCTATTTCTCCTCCGTGTTTATTCCATCTCCCGTCATGGCCTTAGACATTCCCATCATCTAAAATACAGGTGCAGTTAAAAATCTGACCACTGAGGGGCAACATTAAGCCAGTATTAAGCTGTAATTCCAGACGCTGGAACTGTGAAGGATATGAATGAAAATGTGGAATTCAAGTAAAAGTACCAGGATGGGGGTGATGATACCGGGATAATGATTAAAACAAAGTATAAAAGACATTAATTATCCAAAGTCACGCATAACATTAGGATATTATGTTGGGATATTTCCGTTGTATATGTAGGCACCATTTTGCAATGTTCTAGGTAACATTCAGTGATAACGTTTGGCTACATTTTTTGTAAACATTGTAGCTATTATTGGCTAACGTTAACTCAATTATAGCTTGTAATAGCCTTTGTGTGTTGTCTTTATTTTATTTTTTTTTACATTTTTTTAAACACACTGTAGGTACAAAGACTTGTGGGAAATGGCACCATGAGTGAAAAATAGACCATAGCTGAGCCGAGATTTTCATCACAACTTGTGTTGTTAGCATTATGCTAATACTGAGGTGTTCAACAGGGTTTCTGGAATTCCCGTAAGTGGGTAAAATCGCAATACTGATAAGTCAGATTTTATTCATTATTATTCACATTAACGCTATCTTAAGTCTTGCTAATATATCGCCTCAAGTCTATAAGCATAGCATTTTCGCTTTTTACCATTCAAAGCTATTTTATGAGGCAGTTTTGTTGTTTTCTTTTAAGAAATAGTTTGCAAAAAAATAGCCTTTTTGCTAACCTATAGTTTTTGGTCAATGTTCCCTCTTTTCTCATGTTTCTTTAAATTTTTATTTTGCTTTATAATGTGTTTTAGCTTAAGATGATTTTCTTTATTGGTCTACATGTATTTCTTTAAATTTTTATTTTGGTTTCTAATGTGTTTTAGCTTAAGATGAGTTTCTTTATTGGTCTACATGTAGGTGTTTAAGCTAATATTCTAATTTTTTTTTTGCACCATCAGAAATTTTAAAGAGGGAACTCTGTAATACTCACGCAGGCTGTTGTTCTCTAGCTGTCATCCTGTGGACAATCCTGATTCTGGGTCAGATCTGGATCCGCCGATTCACCTTGTTCAAGAGGGATCTGAAGAGTAGAACGGAGAGACATACATGATGTTTTTTTTTCTATCGTACGTATAGTACACTATATTGTAGAGTGCAGTACAGACAGCAGAGTGCGTATAGTCTGTCATTTGTTCGCCAGGGATATCAGGAGTCTCTCAACTCCGTACCTCCTTGGTGCCGCTGGGGTTGTCCTCCGGATCTACAGGAGAGTGGTCTGTTGTGAGGTCACTGGTCTGAGACGGTGGGCAGTCAGACGAACAGCTTTGATGAGGGGCTGGGGTAGATGCTGTATGCAGGGAGCAATTAAGTAAAAGTGCGGTTTAAAATACCCCAGAGAGTAAATTATTTGCAGTACTTATGGATAGATTTACACAATAATCTGTAATATAATATAATAATATAGAGTATAAGTGGCACCAGCCAAAAAAAAAAAAAAGCAAAATGAAGAAGAAGAAAACATATATAAGTCGCTCCGCAGTATAAGTCACACTGGTGCCCTCTAGCGGCTGTCAAAGCTGAGTTACAGTAAGGGTTGATTTCTACGAAAGAGAGAAAGAGAGACGACCTGGATAACAAATTCACTCACATCATATCAGCCTACCCGGATCAGGAAAACAGGAGGACATGACAATGAATAAAGTGAAAAAAAAAAAAAAAAAAAAAAATTTTTTTAAACAGCTGGTTTAAAGCACAGGGGATTAATTAAGTCGTTACTATTCAGCCTCTGGGCACGGCGATAAATATGTCTCTTTCAAGTTGTAAAGCAAAACATTATTGTTTACTTTACTTTACAGATGGTGCATGGTGGGGAATCTAATTGATGTAAAAATAAAATCTATTCCTATTCCTGATTGGGTAAAACAGAGGAACACTAAATTCTTTATTCGTTATTCCTTAATAGGGTAGCACAGATGGCGGATACTTACGGGATTCAGTTGATGGCGACGTGGATGTACCCGGGCTCAAGGTCATCCTCGAGAGATCAAGGTCACTGCAGCTCCCCTCCTCTTCCTGTGCCGCAGCGGACGAAGGCGGCGGCGGCGGCAGCAGCTGCTGAATGCACGCCAGCGTGTCCGGTACATTTACGAGGCCCGGGGTTCCACACCTGCTCGCCGCCGCTGATGCTGCCGCTCCGGCCCCCGACGTGGAGGGACCCTCGTCTGCGTCTACGTCTACGTCTACTCCCAGCCCTTCTCTGCACAGATTCAAGTGCCTCTGGATGAGGCCCGGGTCGGCCGCGTGCTGGGGGCTGGCGATTGCTGAGGACGGGGCCGACAGGTCGCAGCCTTGGGGACACATGGCGGTGATGGGAACCAGGCCCTGCAGCATGGCAGCTGGGATGGCGTGGCCCCCCACGCCTACTGTCTGGGCTGGCATGTATGCCGCCATGGCTGCCCATTGCTGCTGAGTGGCGGGGAAAATGTTGGCCTGGCTCCAGATGAGTGGCTGACCACCGGGGAGGACCTGAGCCACCTGGAGTGGTCCCTGCACAGGGAAGGCCAGAGTCTGTGCCTGAGCAGAATATGGCTGCTGCGCCCACTGGGCCGCCTGCACTGGGCCCATGGTCATGTAACCTGAAGAAAGGAGGAGACAAGGACATTCCTGAGTGAGAGTTAAGGTGGAGTGAAGTTTCGGCTTTCCAACATTTTGGTCAGCATGACTCGCAGTTAACAATTTTTGCTGATTCCAGATTCATTCAATTGACAGTCTATACAAAAGGTATAATGTTTTATAGCACAATATTTTGAACTTGTAACATGTAATTATTAGGGATGTCCGATAATATCAGGCAACCAAAATTATCGGCAGATATTAGCATAATTAGGTCATATCGGTATGTATCGTTATTGTTTTTTCCTCCGATAATGAAAACCCTTGACCTAAACACAACAAAACATGTCCTCAAATGAGTCACACTATCCAGCTAGAGCGCCCCCTAGTGTGGAAATAACAAAAATGGAAAATTATATATTTTAATATATAAGTCGCAAACCCATCCAAAGGATGAAAAAAAAAAAGGCCAACATATTTTTGTATTACTTCAAGTCAAGAGCAGTATTTATATTTCCACCATAAATAAGGCTTATTGTTCACACCATAAATAAGGATTATTGTTCAAATTTTAAAAAAATTAAATTCACTTGTTTTTTCCAAATTCCCGAAACCTTTGAAATATTTCAAAGAGCAACTTCTGAATTTTCGAAGCAGTTAAGCTACTTCTGAAAATGATCTTTATCTGTGTAAATCTCGTCGACTTGATGGCGTATTCTGTAAAGAAATACATGCAGTTGGTTCAAAAAAGGTACGTTATTGTTATCACTCTCAAAATTTCGCCGCTCCTAAAATGATCATTTGACTCCCTGAACTTAAGTAATGGTCGTCGTTAAAGCTTTTAACTTAATGGATTAAAAGATTCTTACAACAGCCATTGATTTCACGGGTAATCTTAGTAATTGTTACGTTCGCTATTATTATCACTTAGCAGCGTAAGTGTACAGGCAGATAGGCAGCATTTACCACCATGGTGCGTTCAAGGCAGCTTTTTTTTTTTTTTTTATAGCCTTCTATTCTTAGATGCATGCGCCCGATGAGGTGTTTTCTTGTTTGTTTTGAGCCTCTTAGTCAATTTGGGGCCCCGTTTTCTTAAATGACTTCGATTACAACGCTGGTCCTGAACGATTGCAGTCTAT